CTCAACTCCTCAATTTTGATGGTGGCTGTCACTTCAGACCAGCAGTGTAGCTAAAGTACTGTTGGCTGTAAAGTTCTGAGTCTAAGAAATGCTCCTACTGTTCAAAAGGAGCGATAATCAAAGACATATTAGCATTAGCGGAGACTTTTCTTTGACATAATTAAAAGAGAAAGCTTTTAATTAGAAAAGAATAGCTTTTTTCCTCTGTAATTTGGTGTTAACTTGGCCCACGGGTACTCCTGATCTCATTTCCCATTGTGCACAGTGTCTTTGAACTCCATCAGCATGAATCTCCCGGAGTTCTGTCTTGTTATAAGTCCAGTTCTGAGTCACTCTTCAGATGCTTATTGAGTTCCAGCAACTTGTAAAGCACTGAACTAGATGCAGTGGGTAGCACAAAGAAATATGAGACTTGGTCCCAACCCCAAGCAGATTATAACTTAATTAAATACTACATAAAGAGATAAAGAGCATTTCCTATTAGTATTGTAATATTACTTGAATAAACAGGCACCAATACTTAAAGATCAACAGAGAAATTACAGTGAGTCTTAGTGGTCAGAGAATGCTTCACAGCAGAGGTATTTGTCCTGCCTTGAAGTTCTTGGATCTTGAGGAAGCAGTGAAGAGTGAGGAGCTCATATTAAGCAGGAGGAATGGATTGAGCAAATGTGGGAAACTGTGAGCCAACTGGATTAGCACATTCCTAAATTCTTGTTCTTCTTCTTTTTTTTTAATTTTATTTATTTGACAGAGAGCAAGCGAGAGAGAGGGAGCACGGGAGCACAAGCAGGGGGAGTGGGAAAGGGAGAAGCAGGCTTTCCGCTGAGCAGGGAGCCTGATGCGGGGCTTGATCCCAGGAGCCTGGGATCATGACCTGAGCCGAAGGTAGTTGCTTAACGACTGAGCCACCCACGTGCCCCATTCCTAAATTCTTCTTGATACCTAAACAGTGGAATCCAAACTCGTTAGCCTGGCCTTTAAAGCTCATTAAAAATCTTTTCCTCACCACTCCAGCTAGAGTGGTCAAGTTGTTATCCTTTATATACATGCCAACCCTTTTTTTGGTTTCTTGTCTACTGCTCTCTGTTTATTTCGTGCCACATTTGATGTGATGAAATTCTAGACCACCCATCTTCTCTGTGATTACTCCCTGCTCTGAGACTTCATAATCCTTACAACTTGTATAATTCATATTACTTTAACTGTTTACCACTTTATGAACTCACTCTGTCTCCCCACTTAGATTATAAACTCCTCTTCTGCCTCCTTGGCTTACTCCTTTTTTCTCTGGATCTCTAAATGTTAATGTATCTCAAAGACCTAGAAAGAGAACACTTTCTATGGAATCATACCCTTCCCTTGTGTGATATTAGTGAAAAGCACAAGGGCCAGAAGCTCTCTCAACCTAACTAGTTGGTTGATGACTGGTCAGATGTTTTAAAATCAGAGCATTTCATTGTTTTTATTTGTAAAATAAGAGAGTTGAATTAGGCTTCTCTTCCCCCTGTTTTGACTTTACATTTTTCTGATACTAAATTATTCCTATTCTTTTAAATAGAAGATCATGAAGAAGGAAGGGGGTGGCGCAGGGTGGGGTGGGGGGGTTACAAACCTGCCACCCAGAGGACACACTTTATAATGAATATTTTTTTAACTCCTGTTATAAACATATATATTCATTTAGGGACTTTAAAATTGATACTTTCCATCTCTAAAATCTTGATTCTTTTCTTGCCACTAAGGAAATCAATATAGTGTCTTTTTAGAAAATCAAGATAAATGATGGTACTACTCTTTGGTACGTGACCCACAGGTCAGAGTAATTTAAATATATCACCAAAGATTTCCCCTCTGTGATACCGAGCAATTACATTTAGAAGGATGCATTAGGTCCTTTAGGCCATATAAAGCCTGATAATGATTCCAAATTATCTTAAAGCAGAAACTTGGTTCCAGTGTATATACTCTGGACTGAAGTAAGAATACAGTTCAACATCGTGAAACTTAAAAACTTCTTGAAAATTCCCTTTGCTAGAGGATTTGTTATCTTCTCCATACATTTCTTAGAGACAGAGCCCAAAAGTCTTTTCTGAAGGTAGAACATAATTCATGCAATGGAAAGGGTGGGAACTTTAAAATTTTTGCTGGGATCCCTATGGAAGTTACTTTTTTATAACAGAGTTATTAAATTATTAACTAAAAATTAATTTGATTAAAGTAGGATAATTAACCTCTGATATATAATTAAAGAAATAGAAAAAGTAGACAGGTTTGTTTTTTGGAGAGTGTTTTTTGATAGCTACCATCTCTAATCTGTTAACAATTCAGAGTTGTAGGTTTCTACATGTTACACCAACAGACATTCTGGGGTTTGTTGTGGGTTTTGTTTTGTTTCCTACCTTTTAAGGGAATTTCCAAAAAGAAAATTATTTGCAATTTTCTTAGGAAGATTAAATTGACTTGGAAACAGTCTTAAAACAGTAGTTTGGGGTCAAGGGGAATGGTAGTTGGGGCTCTTCAGATAAAAAATGGCAATTTTTTGGGCGCCTGGGTTGCTCAGTTGGTTAAGCGTCTGCCTTCGTCTCGGGTCATGATCTCAGGGTCCTGGGATCAAGTCCCATGTCGGGCTCCCTGCTTGCTCAGTGGGGAGTCTGCTTCTTCCTCTGCCCCTCCCCCCTACTTGTGCTCACTCGCTCTCAGTTAAATGAATAAAATCTTTTTTTTAAATGGTAATTTTTCAAATGCCTAAGATAATAAAGTTTCCATAAACTCATTAAAAAAACTTGAAATCTGGTACCTACAGAGTGGCACTGTATCTCATTGTTTAGGTCTGATCAGTCTTGGTTGGAATATTTTGTACCCTTATTCTGAAAAGGCAGTTCACAGTTCACTTGGCATCAGCTTTGGCATTTCTTGGCCCAGAGGCTACAATGGTAGCCATAAAAATCGATTAATAAATTACATTCTCAGAAGAAACCTATAATCTATGGGTACTGTCCAGTTGCAGTAAAGTAACACACCTTTTGAAATGGAAATGATGACTAAACATGCAGTGTAGAGCTTCAGAGTGCCAGTTTCCTATTATTGGCCTTAACTCAAGTATTCACAAATAGAAGCCATTTCTCTTACCAACGTAGAAGACAGAATTTATGAATTAGGCTAGCTACCTAGAAGTTTCAACCCATAGCTCACAAGTTACTAAAATTCACTCATGAATGTTAATTTGAGAGGGATTTCACTGATGGTAAGAGTTGGCGTCTTTTTTTTTTTTAGATTTTATTTATTGATTTGACAGAGAGAGACACAGCGAGAGAGGGAACACAAGCAGGGGGAGTGGGAGAGGGAGAAGCAGGCTTCCCGCGGAGCAGGGAGCCCGATGTGGGACTCGATCCCAGGGCCCTGGGATCATGACCCCAGCCGAAGGCAGATGCCCAATGACTGAGCCACCCAGGTGTCCCAGAGTTGGCGTCTTTTAGTCTCACATCTTCTACCTTGCGTGCACTAAGGCATGTTAAACAACATCACTAAACTTTTAATTCTTTCATGCCATTTTCTCTCTCCTAAATAGTATTTCTTTTACTCTGAAGGGGAAATGGTCTCTTTCTGGATATTAGTTTTAAAATTACAAGGAACTGTCAATATGATTTCTGTATTGGCTTATTTTAGTGGTGGATTTTTTTTCCCATCTTAAAAACAAAACTTGCTAGTCTTGTCCCGTTCTCTCCACACCAAACATTTCTTCCTACACACTGCACTATTAAATAATTCTTCCTAAAACTTGGCTTTTGTCATGTTCAAGACTTACTTTATATTTGTTTATTCATTCTCCAAATATTTATTTAGTGACTGATCTGAGCCAGGCAATGCCCAACTCTAAACTCTTTGAAGCAGCTGTGTATGCTGTTTATAACCTGCTTTCCTCTCACTTACCCAGTTTCTAGTTGTCTGTCCTCAGTTGCCAGTCTTTGCTTTATACCTCGTATTTTGCCGTGCTTTTCTGAAGCACCATCCTTCCCTTCCAGTGCCCCCCCACTTTTTAAGATTTATTTATTTTAGAGCGAGTGAGCACGGTGGCAGGGGTGGGCAAGGGGAGAGGGAGAGCAAGTGTTAAGCAGACTCCACGCTGATCAGGGAACCATCTCAGGACCCTGAGATCAGGACCTGAGCCAAAACCAGGAGTCCAAGGCTTAACCAGTGCCACCTAGGGCGCCCCTTCAAGTGCTCTTATAAAAAGATTTGATAAGTCATTTATTATATAGTTGAATCTAACCATTATTTTACCTCTCAAAAGGCTTTTACATTTTGACTTTTCCTGTAAATATGAACAATAAACTATCTTTGAAAGAATTCAGAGCTGTGTGCACATGTGGAGGTATTGGAGAGGCAGAGCACCCCCTGCTGGTTCCTTTGAAATCACACTAAACGGGGGGCCCTCTGCCTTCCCCTCCCACCGTCATCCGTCTGTGCTCCTTCCCATCTCCATAGCTGTGCAGCTGTCCCTCCTCCTGCCACTGAACCGCCTGTACCTCTTGCCCTCAGTGTTCGGCTCAACGTATCCTATGTCCTTCCTAAAGGTTTTTCTGTGTCTTCTGTTGTTCATTTCTTTTCTGTGAGCTCCTCTATTATATATGGTCACCATCACAGATTGGCCCTTAAATGTCCTTTGTTTCACTTGGGTTGTTTCTTTTTCCGCATCTCTAATCTTCAAGAACACTGATCCTATCATCTTAACTTTCTGTTTAGATGCTACCTAGCAAAGAGACCCAGTTGGCATTGAGTGAATACCTAAATAGAAATGAGAACTTGCCTAGGCCCATATATGTATATTGTATTTAGCAACATTTTGCAAAATGAATTTATCCTTCAATGGATGATGGAAACGTCATATTTAAGGGCATTATTAAAATTTGAAATTTTTTAAAAGGGAGAAAAAATCAATCGTTTTTTTCTTTAAGTGCTAACATCTGAAGAAAGTTTTGATTTTTACTTCTTAACAGGTGGTTTGTTCTAGATGCAGAAACCAGAGATCTAGTTTCTATCCACACAGATGGGAATGAACAACTCTCAGTGATGCGCTACTCAGTAGGTAGGCAGATTTACCCCCATCCTGGCATTCACAGCATTTCTCTGTCATTGCATATTTTCACTTCCACTAAAGCTGACTAGTGACTTTTTCTTTACTCTCTAAACTTGTTAACTATTGAATATGTTTCCCCCAACATCAAATTAAATTCTGTTGCAGGAAACTGCAAAAGATCTTCTAAAGTTAAACAACATTCTAAATCATGAAATTTAGAACGAACTGTTACAACTGCATTTGCAATTGAAAGCAGAATACAGTGCAATCAAATCCTATTTTGGGGGAATTACGCATACTTAGAATTTTGAATAGGTATTAGGCTGAATGTTTTATCTATTTAGTAATCTTTTTATATGTAAGAAAATATAAAATAAATTATAGTAATATTCAAAATACGCACTATTATAGGCTGTTCAAGCTCTTTAAAATCTAGTTGCATTACTGGCTACATGGTATTGGTTAGTTTTGTTAATTAGATAAAATACTCAGAAACTCATAAGAATTTGATAAACTCATTTAGCTTTATTTGAATAATTCTTTATACTTTATTCAAAATGTTAATTATGTTTCCATAATAGTCCCATTCTTTTTACCCATTTTTAATATGGTTTTGATTCATATCATTCTTCTCTGGAGTTAGTGTGAGTGACATTTGCTTGTATTTGAAAATATATTCCAGTAAAAAAAAAAAAAAAAGAAAATATATTCCAGTAGTTGTTGGATCAGTGTGGGATCCAAAGGATCTTTTTGATTGCTTCTGAGTTGTTTAAAAGGAAACACAGAATACTATTCTCTGAGTTGAACATGGAAGGAAGAGTATTTGCTCAGGCTTATAAGCCTGGCAAGTTATCTTAAAGCAGAAAAGGTTTTCTGTTTGTCTTGGCTTTTTTAGTGCTATACTAGCAAATTACTACAAACATAGCAATTAAAATCCAAAGATCAGTTGGACTTTATTGACCATCTGTTACATGGTAAGAACAATAGAAGAGACCATAAAAGAAGAGAACATAGTCGCTTCCCAAGTTGGAGAGGTCATATGTGCTCAGCCGAAATGACCAATTGAACACTCAGCTTATGAGTACTGTGTACTTAGACCCATAAGAGCAGGTTAACCCTGGAGCCAGTTTGTAGCTAACTAGAAGGAGATGAACCTAGAGTCCAAGACCTGTGAGTATCTCCAAGAAATGACTGGACTAGATGGCCATGTTTTTCAAATCTGCTTAGTGATGGAAGGATTCATTCGTCAAATACCAAATAACAGTTAAATTAGTGAGATTTAACAACATTTGTAAAATATTCACTTAGTATAGGTCCAATAAAATAGCAAATCTGTCAATACATTTCTCTAGTTAACACTTTTTCCTGTCTCATTCTAGATGGCACCCTCCTGGCGGTAGGATCTCATGACAACTTTATTTACCTCTATGTAGTCTCAGAAAATGGAAGAAAATATAGCAGACATGGAAAGTGCACTGTAAGTAGTTAAAGTAAAATAAATTAAGCTGTAAAAGTGTTGGAACATTTTACTTTTAATAAGTTAAATTTTTACATTGATGTATCCATTGTTTTCTGTCCTTAACTGCTTTAAACTTTAATCTCTTTGAAAACAGATTACTTGGGTGCCTGGGTGGCTCAGATGGTTAAGCGTCTGCCTTCAGCTCAGGTCATGATCCCAGAGTCCTGGGATCGGGTCCCGCATCAGGCTCCCTGCTCCTTGGGAGCCTGCTTCTCCCTCTGCCTCTCTCTCTCTGTCTCTCTGTCTCTCATGAATAAATAAATAAAATCTTTAAAAAAAAAAAAACAGATAACAGCAGAATATTGCCATTCCCTATGTGCTTTAGAAATGTTTCTTCTTTTGATGGGCGTTTAATATCTGTTTGACTAGATTAAAGGCAGTTTCTTAAAGCTGTTTCCATAGGAAACCCTTAGAATAACGCTTTTTGAAAATGGAGTGAGTCAGAAATGAAAGGGTATCTCACTTTTAATCCCAGTGTCCCACATTCCGGTCCATCCCCAACACCCTGCAATTTCCTGTATCATCTCTTTTACCACTAAAAGTAAAGCAATTTATATGGAGATCTGTCTGCATTAAGAGAGTTAACAGAAGCATATTTCCTTTAATTTATTCTGATCGACTTCGTTATCATTTTAAGGTAGACTTGATTCAATTCTGTAGACGTACTGAGTACTTACCTTATGGCAGGCATTCTGCTAACTTGAGAAATGTTCTAGACACCAGGAATATATGTAAGATTTGTTCCTTGTCCTCAAAAAGTATACATTTGAGCTGAGGGCAGGACAAGAAAGGCAGGCAATACAGCATAGTGGTTAAGAGCGCCGACTTGGGATTCGACCATGTGGATTTGAATTCTTATTTCACCACTTACAAGCTAGTGTGACCTTGGGCAAGTTACTTAAATCTGTTTCAGTTTTCTCATCTATAAAATGAGGATAACAGCCGTTTCTACTTCACTGGATTAAAATAAATTAATGCATATAAAATATTTTGAATAGTGCTTGGCAAATAATAGGTACTCAATATGTGTTAACTATTATTTTTATAGAAAATGAGGTAGCTTGGTGTGTATGTTAGGAAAGGATTAGAAAATTACTTGATGAATCAGTGGTTAGTGGCAGCACAGATCACAAAATAGTTTTAGGGGGATAAATAAAAGAATTAGTTTTTAGAAGCCTATACATAAGCAAAATCCAGGCCATTTACTACTATTCAAAGAAGAGATTTGTTTGTTTAGTTTGTGTGCACACACGTTATTTTGTACCATAGGCTAAAACCAGCCTATAAACTGATCTATAAGCAACATCAGAGTTTCAGAATTTATCCAAAATAATCTTTTTGCCTTGATAATAATTATGAATCATTAATCACTAATTTATTGAAATCTTTTAATCAGTTTATTATCATAATATTTGTGATAAGAAATAGTAGAGTAATGCCTCATTGTAATCACGTGAGCAAATGAAATGTTCCACTGAAGGAATTTTCGGGTTACTGAGGTTTACCCTACCAGGCTCCTTAACCTTAATTAAGAAAAATTAAGTTTCTCTTAATTTTCTACCTCAATCTTTTAAAAGTTCATGTCTTAATAAACAGTATATCAATTAAAATTTAATCTTGTGGAATCATATAAAACTTTACAGGTAGCCCTGTAGCACACACTTGGCTCAGCTCTTATTTCACTGATGTAGAGACTGACTTTCAGACAAAAGAATTGTCCTTGGTCACACCTTGACTTGGTGGCAAATCCAGGGCCTGAACCCTCTTCTCTTAGTAGAGCAGACTCTCCAGTGTAATATGAATGCCTCAGATTTTTCAGTACATATCTCATTGTCCTGTGCTCTTAAGGTACAACTGATCCAGAAAGGAAACAGCAGTATATGACACTGGATAATGAGAATGACCTTGGAAGTGTTGAGAAATGGCAAGCTTATCAATTGCATAAGACTTGGCCTTCTCCAATTAGGCAGCTTTTATCTTTAAAGCATTTGAAAGTATTATTTTGAGATATCCTTAGGAACTGTTAAAAGTTGATAGTACTGCTTAAGGCTGTAATGAAAGGCTCAGCTACTCTGCTTTTCTAATTAATGTTCTGTGCTTTGCTTCCAGCTCTCACTTCTCCTTGCTGTCTGCTTCCACCAGCTGGTCTTAGAGTTTCATGTAAACTGCTTTTATCTGTTGTCTGCTAGGGTATAGGACAGACAGAACAGACCTAATGCTGGTTTTGCCGCTTACTAGATTGAGACTTGAGGCAAGTAATTAACTTATTTGAGTTTTAATTTTATTATCTTAAAATTGGACATTCTAACACTTCCTACTATATAGGATTGTTGTGAAGGTTAGGAACTACTCTCAGAGTTGCAAATACAAATGCTGTTTTTTATTTCCAATATTTTCCTAGTACTAGTCAATATTTAAGTAACCACCATAGCTGCAGGAGCATATTTAGAACCTTAGAGAATGTCCCTTTAATAAATTAACCAAGCAGTTGGAGCCTGTCCCTCTTCGTGGCATCATTTTATGTGCAAAGTCAGTTGAGAAGATGACTGGTACCTGAGAACACAAACGAGTACTTCCTGGTAGAGGGGAGTGGCATGCTTGACAGGGTTGTTACAGGCCAAGGCCTTGCTCACAGTCATAAGCTAAGAAACAAAACAAGATCCATTTTAGAGAAATGGACTTACATTATGCAAGTTCTCCAAAGCTGTTTTATAAAATACCAATTTCTGGGGCGCTTGAGTGGCTCAGTCGTTAAGCGTCTGCCTTTGGCTCCAGTCATGATCCCAGGGTCCTGGGATTGAGCCCCGCATCGGTCTCCCTGCTCAGCGGGAGGCCTGCTTCTCCCTCTCCCACCCCCCCTGCTTGTGTTCCCTCTCTTGCTGTCTGTCAAATAAATAAATAAAATCTTTTAAAAAAATACATAAATAAATAAAATACCAATTTCTACAAGCTGTAAACTGCTAAGGGACTGGATCCTAGTTTCTTCTGGCCAGTCAGGTTTTCTGTCTGTAAACAAGCCTCAGGAAACCAACTCAGAATCAGAATGCTAGTTTATTCATTTAAAATAAGGTATATAAATGCCAAGGGGACAGGACATGCCCATCTTCCAGCCAGTACTTCCCTTCTGGCAAAAATATGCATGTGAAACCAGAGTATAATCAGGAGGTGAGCAAGCTTAGCACGTACATCCCCAGTAGGTCAATAGCTGCCACTGGAACTGGTCTTGGTTCAGGTCCCTCTATCCTAGACATTATGGGTGCTGTCCACGTTTGCCTCTGTGACTCATTGCTGACCACCTACCTGAATAACACTTTCTTGGGACAGATTCATACATGCAGTCAGGTTGTACTGTATCCTTGCTGGCCTTGGACTTATGATGACTCTTACTTCTTGGCCTTTTTCTGCTTTGACTTACTCTATGTTGATTGTAAAGTCTAACTCTCAGAGGTCCCTGGGGAACTTCCACTGCAGTTTCCATAAACACACAAAACTTGCTCTTCCATTCGTTGAATTTACTTGCTATTATGTAGCAGCCTCAAACACCTCAAGTTTGCTTACTACACATGGCTGGTCTCAGACCTTCTCTTTGAAGGAACCACAGTGATCTTCCAAGAAGTTATCTGCTCCTGGGGCGCCTGGGTGGCTCAGTCGTTAAGCGTCTGCCTTCCGCTCAGGTCGTGATCCCAGGGTCCTGGGATGGAGCCCCGCATCGGGCTCCCTGCTCAGCACAAAGCCTGCTTCTCCCTCTCTCACTCCCCCTGCTTGTGTTCCCTCTCTCGCTGTCTCTCTCTCTCTCTCTGTCAAAGAAATAAATAAAATCTTTAAAAAAAAAAAAGTTATTGGCTCCTCCTAACCCTGACTTCTCTGGGCGGGCTGAGGGATGGAAAGGAAGAGAGACTGGAGTCATCCCTCTATACTGTTGTCTGTGGCAGCCTTTCATTTTCTCTTCTGTGACCTGTCTGCCCCCTCACTTTCCATGTTTGCCCCTGGGAGCACACTGTCTTCAGCTGCCCCTGTGCTCTCTGCATTCCCTCCTGCGCACACCCCAAACCTACTTTAGCAGCTCTGTGGCATTTTCTGCCCTTTAATTAGACCATAAAATTTAGAATAACCTTTTTTCTTTTACTTCTCATGAAAACATCCATCTTCTTAGTGTTCAGTACATATTAGAAAAAGTGGCTTGATTAAACTGTAGGATTCAGGGGTTCATGGTTGTATCCTGTATTGAGTATGTAAGCAGTTTGATTTCTTTCTTTCTGAGAGAGTGGGAGTGCATGTGCGTGCAGTCAGTGGGGGGAGGGGCAGAGGGAGAGAGAATCTCAAGCAGACTCCATGCTGAGCATAGAGCAGAGCCTGATCACCTAACTCTGAGATTATGACCTGAGCTGAAACCAAGAGTCAGATGCGTGACTGAGGCCCCCAGGTGCCCCTAGGCAGTTTGATATTGTAACTGCTGCTATAGAAAAGTTTATAAAAAAAGCTTTGGATTCAGGAGCTCTTTTTAACTTGTCTCCTGCAAAGCCCTAAGGTGGGGCTGGGCTGGGCTGGATATGATTTTCTTTGCTTTGCATATTGGGCTTCTCTTGTAAGATTTAATATGTAAGAAAGATTTTATAGCTAAAAAGAGTTTGAAGACTGCCAGTTGGCTGTCTGAAATATCCTTGAGTAATGTGAGTTGAGGATTGTGAAGTTTTGTAGTCTTACTGCTTTCCATACAATCTTTCTTTACCTCAGCTTTTCCTGTGCCATTTTGAAAATGTACTGAAGAAGTCCTTAGTTACTTGTAAATTTCTTTTCTTAAAATGCTACTTTGAAATTACTTCCTGCTCATCTTCAGTGTAAGAGAAATGAGTAAAAAGATAAGCGTGATTTAAATGCTGTGCTCTCTGACCTGGGCTTAAACTCTGGCTCTACCAGTTCTTTATTATGTGACCTCAGAAAAGTTAGGTAACCCCTTGCTGCCTCCTGGACTTGCTCATCTACTAAGTGGGCATCGTCATGCAGGCTGCCGGGAGATTGAGTTGACTGTGTATGCCCTGTGCATAGAACGTTCTCGGCTCAGTGTTGGGTGCCAGCCAGTAGCAGCATTGTTCTCAGTAACTAGAGGAGCACGGGTTGTACATAGGGGTGTTTTTCAGCATTTAATATGAATCTGTGGAAGGTCAAGAAGAGTTTTCTAATTATGGATAATTGTTTATTTTCCTTGAAAGAGTTTAAGTGTTCTGATTGACCTGAAGTTTCTACTCTACTTGCAGTAGAATTAGGATGATTTTATTCTATACCTGAGTGCCAACCTACTGGCTTTCTGTTTGACTTGAATTCCTGTGTTCCTTTTAACACTGCTGCTCTAAGATGGTAGCACAGGAAATGAAGTATACTGAAGTTGCAGTGATGTACTATTACAGAGTCTGTTAGGATAGGAAAGAAATGCTGGTAAAAGTCAGTGTCCTTTTTGCCAGGATTTTGGTAATTGAAACTTACATCAAAGAGAAGAATAAAGAAGTCTTAAACTGTCTGCTTAGAAACCTCCAAAAAACTAATCCAGTATTTCAGTAAGGCATTAGGATTCAGTGTTACTGTAACAGGATATATGCAGTACCTGGTGACTTAAAAAAATGAGGGATGTGTTCTCATTTAAGCAGAAGTCATCAGGAACTCAAAATCTTTCTTTCTTGATAGTCTTTTATTCTTTGGTCATCAGATACTAGTTCCAGGAGGAAAGGCTCAGAGCAGGGGGAAAAGTACTCCTCCTCCTAAGTCCATTCTCTTAAAGTTTCCCTGGAAGCCCCACTCAGTGATTTCTGGCACCTCTAGCTGCCAGAAGAGGTTGGGAAATCCAGGGTTTCACCTAGGAACTTAACAGAAGGGGGTGGACTGTGGACTGAATAGGCAGCTATTCAATACTCTAAAGAATAGCTTTCCCTCAGGGCACCTGGCTGTCTCATATGGAAGAGTATGCAGCTCTTGACCTCAGGGTTGTTGAGTTCAAGCCCCACATGGTGTGTAGAGATTACTTAAAAAATATATATATATACACACACACACACACATTTATATATATACACACACACACATATATATATACATATATGTATGTGTTTGTTTTTTTTTTTTTTAAAGAACAGCTTTCCCTTGAACCAGCAAAAGCACATCAGAAACGTGAAGGGGGGGGTGCGTGGCGCCTGGATGGCTCAGTCGGTCCCACGTCAGGCTCCCTGCTCAGCGGGGAACTTGCTTCTCCCACTGCTTCTGCTCTCTTGCAAATAAATAAATTTTTAAAAAAAGAAACTCCAGGGTGGTGTCTGGGAAGGTAACATTATAGACCCCGAATAGTTACATTTAATCATTTCCTTATTTATTGGAATCCGTACCAGGGAAAAAATACTTTTTTCCAGTATGAATTGGTAACTTCCCCAAGGTCTTTTCTATATTGGGTACTTTTGCTATTCAGGAGTCCTTTTTGAGAATACTTTATACTGATTTATCTTCTAAATATGTTCTGTGTCCAATACAGATGGAACTACATGATTATGTATACATACAATGCTTTTGATGCTCTTTTAAATAATGTTATTAAAGCCTTTTCACAGTCCCAGATGATATTTTTAAATATTTCTATATTACTGTGAATGCTTCTTGGAGGACTGCACTTTGCCTGATGAATCTGGTAAAATCCTTCATGCATGTAGCCAGCAGTTTTCTTATCTGAGAGGCATGGCTTCTAACACCAGAGCCAGGCATCATCAGACTCGTGTGTACCATGAAAAGGATTTGTGTGAACCTTATCCTGCCAGATTCAGAAAATATCCAGTAACCATATGTGTCTTTCTGGCTTTGAAACTTGAATTCTTGTGAAGCTGGTAGGTCTCCATTGTGCCTAGCAAGTGATTCCCAACCTGTTTTCCAGTACACCTCCTAATCTCTGGTGATTTCAGGAGCTTCACAGTTCTCAAATTCACAGCATTTAAATTTATTTAAATGTATAAATATATTTGCCATACAGCACTGTGGGGGAGATCATAGCTCCAGAGAGGTGTCGTTAGGTTTTCAGAAGGTAATAGAGTAATTAGAGTACTTTGTGTGAATCATTAGAAACTGCACCTAAGGTACTTTGAATTTTTTAATTAAAAAAATGTGTGCAGAAAGCTAGTGATTCAAAAAGTACAATAGAAATTAAATATGCTTTACAACAGACTGTAGGAGATAAAAGTGCTTTTGAGTCTCATTGTGCCACCATTAAGACCTATGCGTGATTTAGCTTAGAAATCATCACATGCTTACAACAGGCAACAAAATACAGCATTTAGTAGTTTTTTGTCTTAATTCCCACAGTGTTAGTAAAAACTAGAGCAGAATAAGATGATGTCTCCTGTTTAAGGAATGTTTTAATGAGTCAGGTGGTCATATTGGATCCAGCTGTTCTGAAGGAGTACATGTTGGGTGACTTTTCCCCAGAAATATTCTTTGGAGGTAAGAGTTTTCCTAGGAGACCTCCACATGCCCATGTATCTGCGCCATCTTCCCCAGCCTCTGAGGTGTACCATGGATGCTAAGAAGCAGCCCAGGAAAACTGTACTCTCTGTGACCAACCTAGAACCCTTAACTTCATTCTCAAAAACTAAGTCCTTCTAAAGGGGACACCAGTGACTTGGAAAAAGACCCGAGGGAAGGTGATCTGTGAAGTGTCCATTAAGGCACAAGTCTACAAGACTCCTCTTTCTTGGAAGTCTGACACAGGTAATAGGTGCTTGTTGCTGCTGTCTAGGTGGAGAGGCCAGCAGGATACTCCCAAGTTCCGGGTGCTTAATGTTTCCACTGTGGTGAGATCTCTTTCATTCCAGAGTTATTGTTTTTGTTTTTTCAAGATTTTATTTATTTATTTTAGAGCTAGAACGCAAGAGCATGGAGGAGGAACAGACCACGCTGAGCACAGAGCCCAACGCAGGGCTCGATCCCATGACTCTGAGATCATGACCTGGGCCAAAATGAAGAGTCAGACACTTGACCCATCTGAGCCACCCAGGCGCCCCCATTCCAGAGTTCTGCTAGAACTCTTCATGTATCATGTGGCATCTTTGCATACCTGCACCTTCGGTTACCAACAAGATAGGGTGAAAAAGAACTAAAGACCTGCTATGAGCCCTGGTCCGTTCTAGAGGCTGTGATACTCCTCTGTATACATTAGTAATTCCAGATGAATGGCTACTCAGAAAACCTGTTGGCTACTAAACTATTTATTATTCAAAATGCTAAATGCTTTCTAATAGTTGATCTGTTATTCCCTAGGGACATTCCAGCTATATCACACACCTTGACTGGTCCCCAGACAACAAGTATATAATGTCTAACTCAGGAGACTATGAGATATTGTACTGTAAGTATGAATGATCACATCCAGCTGAGAGGTGTCTGTCGGGTGCAAATGAACAGGCTGTGCAGAATTTGAGTTGTGTAGAGTGCATGCTGGCTCTCTGACTTGACAAAACATATGTTACTCTGAGCTAAGGAATGAGAATCTCAAATGTGGTTCACCTCTCCAAGAAAGTAAGGAATTAACTTATTATATATGTAGACATGTAGTCCTAAGAAATTACTCAGGGAGATTGCTGCTTTAATATGGCTTTGTATTTAACTTTTCCTGGGGAGAGGAAAGAGTATAATGCATGGGCATTTATGCTTTTTTAAAGAAAAACAGCTTCAGTGGGGAACAGTTTTGTAGTTTTATAAACCCTGGTAAAGGCAACACTGTTTTTTCCTTTTTAAATATATCTTAACATTTTTCAGTGTATTGATTATAAATACAAATAAACGTGGCTAGTTTGAATCAAGATACACTTTCAGATACATTTATAAACAGGCACTATGATTATACTTCCTGTTTCTAAATTTAAAGGGGACATTCCAAATGGCTGCAAACTAATCAGGAATCGATCAGATTGTAAGGACACCGATTGGACAACATATACCTGCGTACTAGGCTTTCAAGTCTTTGGTAAGAACATGACACCTGATGGGAAAAGATGGCTTGTGGGGTTCTTATATATAATAATTACTTGCTTAAATTTCTAAATGAAAAAGAGGCTGCGTGTGTTCTTCAGTGTTATCACTATTAATGCCAGATTCAGAGAAATGAAGTGTATTAGGATCAGACCAATATGAAGTTCTCTGCAGAATCCAGCAGACTTTTGGTCCTCAGTAAATATGAAAGACACTTGAAATATACATAAAAGCACAGATCACCTTCCCATTTTTTTTCCTTCAAGTGAAAACTGAAATATTTTAATTTGTAAAGGCATTTTTAAAATAGCTTCATTGAGCATACTACATAATTCACCTACTTAAACAGTACAGTACAGTGGTTTTAGAACTGTAGTGTGGCCATCACCACTGTCTAATTTGAGAACATTTTCATCACTCCAATAAGAAACCTTCTACCCATTAGCAGTCACCCCCCACCCTCCCTCCCTCTGCACCCACCAGCCACTAATCTACTTTCTTTCTCTAATAACTTAGTCTGGACTTTCATGTAGAATGTTTTCAAGATTCATCCACATTGTAGCATGTATCAGCACTTTGTTTTATGGCTGAGTAATACCTCCTTGTATGCATATACCACATTTTGTTTATCCATTATCAGTTGACAGACACTTGGGTTGTTTCTACTTTTCAGCTAGTATAAAGCTGCTGTGAACAAGCATGTGCAGGTTTTTGTATAGGCATGTTTTCATTTCCCTTGAAATATACCTAGGAGTGGAATTCCAGAATCCAATGGTAACCTTGTGTTTAACCTTTTGAAGAACTGCCAGAATGTTTTCCAAAGTGGCTGCACCATTTACATTCTCGCCAGTGACATACGAGGGGTTCCGTTTCCCCACATCCTTGTCAGCAGTTCTTACTCTCTTGCATGTGAATGTCCAGGTGTCCCAGCACCATTTGTTCAGATATAAAGCCATTTTTAGTAGACATTATTTAAAGATAAAATTTGGAAATCATTCCTAATCTGATGTTTTAGATATTTCTTGAAGTCTTTTCTGTGACAGTTTTGTAAGCCTTTTCCCAATCTGGGGGTATCCTTCTGAAAAAGTTACAAGACGAATGGAAAAGTTAAGATAATAAAGCCTTGTCTGCAAAGAACTGAAAAGAGATGTTCTACTCAGTAATTAGAATACTGGATAGGAGGGGGACATCAATCCCTCAAGCAATATCCAGAATATTAGTGCTTTCCCTTTAACAACATCTCTGCCTTCTGACGGGGGGCTCTCTCCTCCAGCCTGTTCGCAGATCACAACAGTTCTTTATGCTGTGTACATTAGAAAAAATAATCCATTATAGATCCCTGTGCTAAATACAACTTCTATAGAGATGGAGGAGAGTACTGGGCTAGCAAGAAATTAAAAACAAAAGAACTCTGACTCGTCCAAACACGATTTCATTATTATGGGTGAAACTGAAACAGTAGCCAATAGCTGGTAATATTTATTTAAGAGATGTCAGTTAAGAAGTGTTTTGACTTGTTTTAGCAAATTTACCAAAAACTTCTTTGTTCTCAGAGGCCAGCATCTCAGCCCTTCTGTATTCCATAATTTCCATCTAGTCTTAATAGGGTTTTGTGCTAATTATGTTGAACATGATCACCAGTGCTTCATAATGATTCAGAATAATTAAATTTGTTATGTCTCTGGACATAAATAATAGTTCTATGAAAATTCTATGGGATAGCATGGTAGACTAGTGGATGGCCTGTGCATTTCTATTAAGAAAGAATCTTGGAGGTTTTCTTTGAAGTGCCTTCCTGAAGAGAACAGCAAAGAAAGAGTGTGTACATTTTACACAGCTTCCCCAGAGTCTACTTTGAAGAACTAGAGCTGTAGCCTTGTTTTTCTGCACCTTGCTATTATACAAGTAACAGAATTTCCCCTCCAACTAGAAACTTTAAAAAGGAAGAGCTTATTTGCGGAGGTGAATTAAGCTAAAACTATTTGTTAGCACCACCTGCTGGTTACTAGTGAGTACTTTTGTTTCTTCAAATTTTCCATCTTGAGTCTATTTTCACTGAATTTTAATTAGATTTTGGGTAAAACTTCATCTTTTGAATGAAGTGTTGAGCCACTAAGAAATCTGAACACAGATTAAAGTGAATTAAGATTCTAAAATTAAATAAACCCATGTGGCATCACAGTTATATTTTAGACTAATTTTTCTACACCCCTGTGTTCCCATATCAAAGGTGTCTGGCCAGAAGGATCCGACGGGACCGATATCAATGCACTGGTGCGATCCCACAACAGGAAGGTGATCGCTGTTGCTGATGACTTCTGCAAAGTTCATCTGTTTCAGTATCCCTGCTCCAAAGCAAAGGTAAAATCATTTTAATAAAAACTAGTGTTGTAGGGCCTTTTGTCTGGGAATATTTTTTTGTCGATGATGAGAAGAGATGTGTAGAGTTACTCCTCACTGCCTGTGATGCCATGGGGCCCGGGGGCTGGGGGGGGGGGGCAGGGCCCTCAGAAGCATGCAGGCCAGCACTGCTTGTTTGCTCCTTCGCCATTAAGGTCAAGAAGACCGTTACAGAAGACAGTTGTTTTATTCATTTTTGTTTATCAGTAATTTTTTAGCAGGTATTTAAATGTCTCCTAAACCTACTAAAACATTTTGTTATACATACGATTAACATTATAAAGCTCCTAGAGCTCCTAGTCCTGCCTGCCTAGTAAATTCTCCCCTAGCTGGCTCAGCAGAATAGTTACTAAGCTCTGACAAGTGTACCAGACTGACATCCAGACGAGATTATTTATGATGTTATTTTTTTAAATATATGATCTGACTGTATGGATATATATCCAGTTACTCTGTTTTGTTTCTCCCATAGAAATAGGTATCAAAAGGAAATTGCTGCTAGCTCCATTCCTCAGATTTGCTGACTCTGTGATTTGAATTACCTCCCTTACCTAGTCGCTTCCATTGCTGTAAGCAGGCATGTAAAGAATGAGTTTAATTTTCCTGATTTGTTTCTTCCAGGCTCCCAGTCACAAGTACAGTGCCCACAGCAGCCATGTCACCAATGTCAGTTTTACTCATAATGACAGTCACCTGATTTCAACTGGTGGAAAAGACATGAGCATCATTCAGTGGAAACTTGTAGAAAAGTTATCTTTGCCTCAAAATGAGATTGTAGCTGATGGTACTCTAACCAAAGCCCCCATCTCTTCCATCGAAAGTGTCATGCAGTCTGACACTCCCACACCACCTCCTTCCCAGCCCTTAAATGAGACAGCTGAAGAAAGTAGAATAAGCAGTTCTCCCACACTTCTGGAGAACAGCCTGGAACAGACTATGGAGCCCAGTGAGGACCACATCGAGGAGCAGAATGAAGGGGTCAGTGAAGAGCTCAGTGAGCCTATGTATGAGGAGCCATCCACTCGGAGTGAAGCCATTCTTACCGAGGACCAGCAAGACCCCTCACTCCTGTCTTAACAGCAGGACTTCAGTGCAACTCTCTCCTCCTTCAGCTTCATGTGATCTCGTGACAGAGTTCAGGTAACAGGCTGGGGAGTGGTGGAGGTCACTCCTGATGGAGCTCTGGGTTTGCACATGGTCTGTTTTCAGTAGTCTTACCTGCAGTCTCAAGTGCAGCAGACCTAGGAGGTTCAGTTGGGTGTGTGTTGAAAATTAACCAAACTTTTAATAGCAGGAAAGACTGAAACATTGTCTCAGAAATTACCGTGTATGTAAGTGGTATGATGTCAATACTGGAAACAAAAACAGCAGTTGTATGGATTTAAAATAAACCCCTTGTTATCTGAACAAGTTTTCTTCAGGAACAACCAGAGGCATCACAAACACTGTTACTCATCTACTGGCTCAGCCTTCTCCCCCCAGCCCCACCCCCGAGGCAGAAAAATCAGAAGAAAAAAAAAAACAAAAAAGAAAAAATGCACTCTGAGATATCCTCCCACCCCAAATGTCTAGTGGAAATTTTTTAGTGCAAAACTTCAGTATTGCCACCTGCAGTGGGGTTGCCTTGAGCCCCAACACCGTTTCCTTACATGAGCACCGGGTGTGCAGATGTGCTTGCTAGTCTGCTCTCCGGTGCTGCCTTTTCTAAGTCGTCATGAGGGACAGTCCCTTCATTTCTTGTGTGCAGATCTATTTTATCTTAGAACTAAGAAAGCAGTGGTTTGTTAAAGAGCTTTTAATGTATATTAAACCATTAATACTCAGAAATAATGGATTCCTCCCAAGGATTCCTTTACTGGCCGGAACATTTTTCAATGTTTGGCATTCAAGTGAATGGAAGAAGAAAAACCGCATGCCTATAAAACTAAACTGTAAGAATTACTTGGCTAATTTTAGCTTAGCCTTCCTCATAATTTGTTCCTTTGATAATAGAAATATAAATACAGGAAGTTTGAATTGGTGCTTGAAATTCATTGGTTTAGTTATAATTTTTATATAGATTATATTGAGGGGTAAGACTGAAAATTACAAATTCTTTTTTATAGAAGTATGAATAACAGTCACAGTAATTTTTTATAAATTGCATACTTAACAGACTTGCTATATATGGTAATTTTTCTCTGGTAGAGTTGCTGTAAGCCTTGCAGTTCTGATGTGGCTGTCCTCTGCTATTTTGGGCAATGCATGTATTATGCATTGGATAGTTTTGTTTTGTTTCTTTGTCAGATGACTGTTTTTCTTAAGTACATGTTTCTACTATAATTACTGACAAATATGCATTTCCTATATATTTGTCTATACATTGATTATAAAAATGTTTTGATTTATTTTTTAACTTGCTGAATTTTTTGTTAGATCATGTTTAGAAACTTTGAGTTCATAAGTCTTAAGTATAAGTATGCAAGTGTTTACGTGATTGTGCCATTCCAAAGTGCATCAGAACTGTCATTCCCTTCTAGTATCTTCTCAGGAGTAATACAAATCAGGTATCTCATCATCATTTGGTAATTAATATACAAACTCCAGTGAACTCCTAAGGACACTCACATTTATATTCACATGCTGTATGTAAGGGTGCGGGTATGTGTGAAGGGGTGAGTGTAGACACTCTGTGTGTATCTATATAGGAAGATATACGCCACATTGAAAATACTCAGTGTATATCTCTATGTGTATAGGTATATGTCCATGTATATCTCTTTCCTTTTGTTTACAGTTGTTCAAAAAAAAAAACCTCAAAGTAGTTCTCTTCAAAAGAAGAGATATAGATTCCAAGCAATCCCATCTTTTTTCAGTATGTTCTATACATAATTATCAGAGCATCAGTAAGTATCAGGCATATATACTTGCCTTATAGCAGTGTAATTAAATCATCAGGTCAGCATGTGCTGAGATGAACAAGTAGTTCTAGAAGAAGAAGCATTTCTTTAAGTACCTGGGCGATACAGCTCTCCATGAGAAGCAGGGAGTTTGGGGACACCAGTCACCATTGGGGTTGCTGTGTACGATGAGGTTTATAATCGTGATACTGTTGGGTGGTAGTTTCAGAAGACACTACTAATGCGCAGGAAGCGCTCCAGCCCTCTTGCCGGCAACTGCTGTCTAATGGTCAATTAAATCTGTGATAATGGTTGCAAGTGGGTGGGATTATGAAATTGTAGATGTTTTTAGAAAAACTTGTGAATGAAAGTGAATCCAAGTGTTTCATGTGAAGATGTTGAGCCATTTCTATCATGCATTCCTGTCTCATGGCAGAAAATTTTGAAGATTATAAAATAAAACGATCAAAATGGTTCAGGCGTCTTGACTCTTACTTCGCTTATACTGCTCGTTTCCGTAACTGTCCGGTTATCAGAAGACACGGCCGTTACCGGCTGACCGCTGCCGGGGATACCCCCGTTCTGGTCAGAATGAGCTCCACCTCATAATGTTAGAGGAAAGGACTTCTGTATGCTTCCACTTACTAGGGGAATAGCTTCATTTTAATTTATTCCATGTCTACACTTTGTCTAATGTTTAACAGTGGATCATCCTGGCGATTCTAGTTACTTGCCTGACAGCCTCCTGTCACTGCCTCCCACGTCCACCTCGGTGAAGTCCTGGCCCTGGGCAGGGCCCTGCACCCCCAGCTTCCTCCTCCTCTCGCGTGGTGCCTAGGGACACATCCTCTGTGCCACAACCATCAGTTGGCCGCTACAAATTTTTCTTTCTGAAAAATCAGGTTGGGAGCATTCCATACATTGCTTAGTTTCAAAAGCATGGAAATGGGGTTTTCATCGTTACCTTATTCATCCTTGGTGACTATGAATGTATGTGCCCAGCCACTCCTATACACTCACCCCTGAGAGGCTGCCCTGGGGCAGGAATTACTCTCCTACCAGTGCGGAGACAAAATGGCTTGACAGGCATCAGAACAAACCCCCCTGAACAATGATTTTTCCTCTCAATAAAAAGAGATCCATAAAGAGGAAATGATGACATTGATTTTAAACATACTGGCCTGTTGGTATAACTTCTAGAAAGAACTGGGTTCCCAGCTTAAAGCTGGAACTGAAATGAGTGAGTTTAAGAACATGTTTTTAGGGCGAAGATGACGGGCTTGAAGAGCAGTTAGATAGGACCGGGGTCAAGAGGAGCACCGTGTGTGGCCAGGCACGCCTCCAACAGCCCGGGCCTTCGTGTGGTGCTGGCGGAGTGTTACCTGTAGGCAAGGAGATGGGCAGATTGAGCAAGTGGCCCATGCTCCTTTTATTTAGATAATGGCCATGCCTGGATGTCATGCTTCGTAACCATGCTTCTGCCACTCATACCAGGAGAAAGACTTGAGGAGTGCGCACAGGGGAGAAAAGGGGAGAGACAGTCTCAAGCAGGCTTCATGCCCAGCACAGCACCCAACACAGGGCTCGATCTCAGGACCCTGAGATCATGCCTCAGCCGCAGTCAAGGGCTGGGATGCTTAACCGACTGAGCCACCCAGGTGCCCTGAGAAACACATGCTTTAGAAACAGAGAGGACAGAGGAAAAAATGAGGGTAAATAGGGTAAATATTCACAGAGAATCTGGAAACAAGAGGGCCTGTGTCCATCTCCATCTTTGCTCCGGGGGGCGGGGGGCGGCGCGCAGGAAGACTGCCCACAGTGATGCTGCACATCTGTCCCCAGCACGGAAGCCAGGCCTTGCTGGAAAAGCCTGCTCTGCCTGGGCTCCAGGACCGCAGTCCTCAAGGACCACAGAGAGGTCTCCAGGCCTTTTTACCAAAAAACAGATGTAACCCTTAGTGAAGAGGCAGCTTTTGCTCTCCTCCCAGGGTCTCAGACCTCAGATCACATTAAATGTTCTGTGCTAATTGGTTCACCTTTTCCAAAGAAAACCTGAATTTCTACTGGACACTCATTAAGTCCCTACAATAATCCTTAATGCTCTAATATAAAGAAGGCAAAGGAATAAAGAGAAATAATCCCAAACGGGGGAAAAAAAAAAATTTCACTGACTCCTCTGGAAATGTCAGCCTGTTTGATTTCTGCATCGGTGAGTGACATCCTCAGGAGACCATGGCTTCCTGAACTGAATACGTTTCTGTTGGGTTTTGTTTTCTGTTTTGGCCAGTCCAGAAATCTGGCAGAGAAACTTACTGGTACCCCTTCTGTATATGGACAAAAACATGAAGAGGTGGGCGAAAACAAGTGCTCAGTGGCTACAATGGGGCACCCCCGCATATCTAACTGCTATTCAACAGTAAAAGCTAACCGTTCATGTAACCCAGGCTTTCCGTGTGCTAACTCGTCCAGTTCTTCTGGCAATCCTAAGTTTGATTACCTCCATTTTACGCACAAGGCAACTTGAGGAACAGAGAAGTCGGGTCACACTACTAGCAAGTGGCTGAGCCAAGACTGGATGCCAGCACCTCCTGCCCCCCGAGTCCCTGTGGCTGCCCCCGCGCCCCGCTGCTAGCACACCACAGAGGAATCACTTAGTCGTTCCTACTACAAAGAATGAACTAGGTTAAACGAGTTGCAAGCACCGAAGAGCAGCATAAGGAAAAGCTACAAAGCATTCGACTTGGAAAAGGCAGTGTTGAGCTCGGAACAGAGGCACCAAGTTAAAGTGACCCTCCTCATGCACAAGTCCCCTCTCCTGCCACCCCCATAACCAGAGCGCAGGGCCGAGAAGCTTCCAGGCCCTTACACCATCCTGTTGGCACCTGCTGCCAACAACTACCTGCTCTTCCTGCCTTCTTTAGCCACAGTCAGGCGCACATGTCCTCAGTCCCTAATGTTCAGTTTAAACCTCTTTGTGTGGAGACGCTGCTCCCTCGTTTTCTGACCTTTGGGCAATTTCCATTACGTTGAAAACGAAGCGTAGCAGCTTCTTTCTGTCATTAGCCAAGTGCATTCTCCACTTTGTCCTCATTCCTCATCCCACGCTTTTTACCGCAAGCCTGGAGGCTCTGCCAGCCCCATGCTCAGCCAGAGGGCTTTGATCTTGCACCTCCTCTCCCTCAACAATGTAAACATGTGGTCCGGAAAATAGATTTTCCTCGGGAGCCACCCATCGACAGAGATGAATACACATAATTACGGTGCTGATGGCTAA